CCAATTTTGGCTTATTTTGGGGCTAAAGGTACTATTTTTCAAAGCTTGTATTTGGCAAAACAGCTGATCTTTGTTGTCATCAATTGTAATAATTGTTCCAACACCAGGAACTCATCATTCATTAGCTCAGAATCCTGTAGCTGATTTTGACTTTTATTTCACAGATCCCTGATATAAATAGCCCTGATGACATATCAGTAGCATCTTAAATTTTAGGCAGGTCTGCCATTCCCCCCCTGAAACAGGCGGTTCAAGAAGTCCAACAATCTTGACCCAGCTTCTCTTTTCCTTCTGCTGCCAGAGATCACTTGTACAGCAGACATCTGTGCTGGTACCTACAGCACCAGGTCATCCTTGTGTGCTCTGAGCCAGGCAAGACCCTGGAGGGGCCTGACCCAGGCTCATATATCACAGAGCAGGTTACTAATCCCTACCACCAACACTGAAAGGAGAAATCAAACACGAAATGCAGCCTGGGAAGGAAGCCCCTGTAATGCCACAGATTTTACACCTATTTATGTACCATCTGTTGGTCAGGGTTGTGCCTACAAGTGCAGACTAGCATTTAATTGGAATGGACCTGGAAAAGCAGTGTGAAGGGACAGTAAAGCAGTGGTGGAGAACACAGGCATCATTTTTTTGCAGTGTGATGCAACAGACACTTGATATCTTACTGCATTTCTTCATTCATTCATTGCAATGGGAATTTTTCAGCTGCCTTTCCCTTCCTGTCTGCAGTGTGAACCACAGCACCGTTCCACAGCCATCTAACGAAAGCTAGGCAGATCTCACCATGGATACCCATTTAAATAGAGAAGTCACAGGACAGTTGCTATTTGTGTGCCTGAATGGAAGTCTATTGTGTTATTTTTTTTGCTCCAGTGAAGCAGAACAAACCCTTCCTTTTCTTTGTTTATATGAGGTGAAAAAACATACTGGTACTGACTTTCAGATAAAACCTCTTAGTTGTAGTCAGTTCCTGCTCTCTTTAAGAACATCTGGGAATACAGACAGTCCATCTGTCCTGTTCCTACACTTAGGCAAAATACCTGTGATGTTAATACCCTTCTCATTTTCTCTGTATGATCACACCTCATGCTGTAGTCTCTTGTGCTCAAGGACTGTTTCTTTTTTCCATTTGCCCATATCTAGAAACTTTCAGGCACTACCCAAATACCAGGTTTTGATATATACAAGATACACACATGGAAATGAAATTTCTTTTACTTGAGGTATTGAGTCAAACTGCAGAAGACCTCAGCCTTGTCTCAGAGGGACAGTGTCATCTTTGACGCATAACCTCTCTCTACACTCTGGCTTTCTGTCTGTATTTTTAATTTGTTTTGCCACAGTGTCCTTGTCAGAGACCAGGGGCTCCTTGTGTTTCTGTTGTATAAACATACAAGCAAACAGTAGTTCTGGCTGCAGTAAATTCAAATAGTCAGAAGGAAACACTTCCCGAGGAAAAAGAAAAAAAGTAAAATTAAGGTGAAGAAAAAAAAAAAAGGGGGCATGTGTAAAGCATTTTCAGTAACACCTGAGATGTATTCTATGTACAGCCTTGTGTACAAGCCAGTGCACAGTGAAAGGCCAGTGGTTCTCCACGTGAGCTAACTCTGCCCAGCCTCTCAGCACGCCTGGTGCACCAGCATCGTCAGACACTCTGGGTCTGAGCCAGCTCAGGTGTCCCTGCAGTGTGCAGGGGTTTCACTCAGCACCACGCAGGGGGCACAGCGTGCTCAGAGCAGATCTGAACCCTGCATTCTCACAAGCAGCTTCAGCACCATTTTAAGACCTCTGGTTTTAAAAAACATGTTAAAGCACTTTCACAATGTTACCATCAATCAATTTTTTATATATTATCTTAAAGGACACTAAGCTAAGTCTTGTCTTGGAGCACATCATAAAGGACAATTGTATTCCCCTTGCAGATTAAGAGACCTGGGAGGTGTCCACATGTGAACTGGATGTCCAGCCTTTTGCCACAGTCAGTGGAGTACAGAGATCTGTCCACCTCACCCTAAAAAACACCTCTTGGCACACACACCAGCTGGCTAAATTTAGATGTCTAGTGCCAGCTTTGCCTGTGGTATCCAAGACATTTACACAGAATTGCCAAATATTAAACATGACCTTTCTCCCTCCAAAGTGGTAGCTGGAAGTTGGGGCCTATTACAGGACATCTCAAATGACTCTAGACAGATATATGTGGGCAACTGAAGCAGTCAGCAGGATAACACTCCAGGTTTCCTGCCTATGATGGCAGTTTGGATCTATCTCATGCATAGACATTTAATTCTCCCTGAATGTCACATAAGAAGAGGACTGTGTCAATTTTTTTCCCTCCCAAAGGGAAATTTGGCTCCAAGCTCCAAATCAGCTTCTCCCCAGAGCATTTTTTTCCTCCCAGAGGATATCATGGGGCTCACCAAGCTCTTCATGACTTTCCATACCTCCAAGCAGTATCCAGCCTGCCTTTAGCCGATGCACTGACATGGCTTTGTGTACTGTTAGAATTAATTCAACTACAGTGTAAGTTGTGGAAAGGAACAGTGTTTATCCAGGACACAGCACCTCTCAGACTTTCTCATTATTTATATAGTGTTTATGCTGCTCAGTGGTGCCAATCAGGGTAAGTATTTACTGCTGCAGGGTATTTACTGCTCCGTATCTGAATATAGCTGCTGCCCTGAAGAGCTTACAATTTAATTATAAAACAAGATGCCAGGAGTTTAAAAAAAAGAGAGAAAATTGATGAGCAAAAGAGGTAACAGCACAAAGTCAGGAGAAGCAAAATATTTTTTATCCCACTCTATTTATCTTTTTAAATTATATGCTTTCCAATTTAAAAACAAAAACCCAACCAACTAACCAAACCCCACGTTTCATTTCTCTTTCCACCCTTCCTGTTTCTCAATGCAATTTATATTTTTCAGTGGAAAGATTTAATCCTATTTAAGATTCTTTCTCATGTTTATAACTTCCATCTACTTACATACCATTGGTTCAGGTGTCTCTCACAAGCTCAGTGCTGTATTATCAGCAGGGACATACAAGGCCTTTCTTTCCCTGGTGGTCTATGAAGCAAGGTAGGTCACATTCATCCATTTTGCCTCCATTACTCCTATTTGCCTACCTGTAATCCAGCCTCCAGGCTGGATGGTGTGCCAACATGTGGGTTTCCTATTGGCATCTCAGCAGGACCCTCTGGATTTCCTGGGAGCATCAGTCCTGCTGTAAGACTTGGGACATTACCCACCGTTATCCCATCCCTATTATTCCAACGAATTCCAGCTCACCTCTATCTGCCACCCAACTCACTTCACAGAATTAATGGACACGCTTCCTGAGATACAAGATCACTTCTACCATTCATTTTAAAAGATAATTTGTGTTACCTCTGTGGGATATCCCCCACTTGTTACTCCATTTGATGAAAATCAGAAACACATGACTGTGAGTTATTACCTATATTACAGCAGACACCAAAATGTGCTGCTGCTGTGCAACACGTAGGAGAAAAGGCACTAGAAGTGCAAAAGGCATCAGAGTCAGCACTAAGCTTTTTTAAAAAAATCATTGTGTATTGAAAATCAGGGCTTAGACGTACACTACACACATTTGCACTGTTATCTCCTATTCAGATTCCACAGCTGTACTCTCAGAGCTCTCCTCTCTCCAGACACAGAAGAGGCACAGAAGGTTGGAGAGAAACACTCTTCTTCTGTGATGGAAAGCTGGTTATTAAGAAAACATCTCTTAGATGCATAGGTCATGTTGCATTTGTCTCATCTGGGCTCATCTTTTCCCTACCAGGCAGTGGCCTGTACCAGGCAGGGATGCAGGGAACTTTCTGACACATATATTTGTCCAGTAAACACTGAACCACCCCACATTTCACAGAAGCTTCCAGATAGACTCCCAGCCCTGCAGCCCCAGCTCAGAACTGACCTCGCCCTATTGAGGGGACAAAAACAGTACAAATGTGTATTTTTCAGTACTGGGTAGTTCTCATGGTGATTTTATCCATCTATAGTAATATCAGAAGGATGATATTAGCTGACCATGCCAGTAACAACAACCATGGCTGCTTGCCACCAGGAGAGAAAACTCTGTTATTTCCCTGACACACTGAATTTTCCACGTTGCATTTAGCTTAGTGAACAGTCAGCTGGAGCTTGCTATTCAGACTTCCTATAGTATAAACTGCTTTTTCTTTTCCTTCCAAAACAGCTTTCTATTTCCTCTCTTACATTCAAGGGAAAGTTACAGCTGAGATTGCACAAAAACTCTGCACAAGTGATACTATTTTTATGTGTACCTTGAGGTGCACAGGGAATTCTGCGGTGACCCGAGTTAGGTTTAGACGTCTAACATATGTGTCAGTAGCTCACAATGAGACATCTCCAGTCACAGTTCATGTGGGTTTCCTCCACCCCTTTTACAGGTCATTCCACTCCCAAAGTCTGGCAGACACGATCCACTCGTGGTGGCCACAGCTCTCTGTCTGGGACACCCAGGTAGCTGTACTTTCATCTTGTCCTTGTTTCATGGCCAAAAACAGCTGTTAGGGCAGCCTGGGCACTCTGCAGCTTCAGTTACCAAGTACTTGGCCCTACTCAACCTGTGGATGATTTAAAAACCTGCATTTCTCACTCATCCTGGTGTGAAAACCATCCCTCTTACTGGAATATTTCTTCTGGGGGAAAACCAGAAATGAATCCTCATGACATGGAGAAGGGCTCTGCAAGAGGGAAGAGGAATCATAAGGCTGTATTGAATAGATCATCTCGACAATTTCTAGGATTCAGGGGCATGAAGTAATTTTTTTACAGGCCTCCAGAGAGCAATGGTCTTCTCTGACTGAGTAGAAGAGATGCAAAGAACAATCAGACATCACTTCACAGAATATCAGCAGATAATGGTTTTGTGAGAACCTTACTTCTTTCTCTGAGGGCCTGCCTGCTTTTGCAGAGCACAAGACACATCAAAGGACTCAATTAGAGTGAATATATGTTATATTGTATCTGTAAATTATGGGCATAAAGTAACAGAAGATCGGGCAGCAGAAGTTTCTTTAACAAGTAAAAGCTCCAGTAATGATGATATGTGGCAATACCCAAGTATTTACAAGCACAGCCAGCCAAGTGCAAGACACAAAGCCACTCTGACCCTCCAACACAGGGGATAAGAGTAGGGATTTTCTTAAAAAGAAGCTCAGACACAACCAGCTCTGCTCTGCCCCTTTTTTTGACCCTTTCCTTAGAATTATAAGAATCTTGAAGTTAGTTTATCAGAGAGGAGGCAGAGGCTACTGGGAATCTCTGGACCCTTAAAAAAAAAATCTGTCTTGAAATATATGTGCAAGTACAGGTAAAATTCACAGTAAAACAACTTTTTAACCCAGCTCACTATTGCACTTTATGCAATACATTCCTTCTATAAGTAGAAGCATTCATTGCTTTGCAACTCATTCATTAGGGGCCTGAAATTTTCACATAATTTTCCTTGCAGATGTCCAACATAATAGGGAATGAGAGAATTAAAATTGCATCCAAACACACACACAAACAAATAGAAACAGAAAATCCTTTTATAATCTATGAGGACAAGAGCAGGAAGCACAGTTCAACATGCTCATGTTTGAAATGGTAAAGTTGGGGAATAAAAATACATGTATTTATGATCACTACAGAATCTCCATATGGTGTTCAAGAGGACAGAACTACAAAATTATCATCAGTTTTCAGAGCAGACACAACTTTTGCACAGGACCAGTTACACCACTGAGCTCAAACATCTTCATGCCATAGTTTGCCACCTGTTGATAAATACACTTATACTTCACACATGGTGATTATAATGGTATTTAAAGACTGTTGTGAAGTGTTCAGAAACAAAAGTGATAGAATCATGGAAATTAGTACAAAGGTAGAAAATTGCCAAGATCCTTACTGCTAAGAAAATCTGAGCTGATTCCAGATCCCTTCAGAAGATTCTAAGCCACAAAATGTATGTAAATTACAGGATTTCTCATTAAGGTTTAATTAGCTTTTAAAAATGGGTTCAAGCTAAAGAAAGAAGTATGTCACAGATGAAAAATAAATAAACTGAAGATATGTTGCTCAGACCTGGAATGTGCAAGATCTGGTTACAAGTCCTGGCTCTGCTGCAGACCTGCTACAGACAGAGTCAGGCCTGGTCACTGATGATGATAGGGCAAAGTCCATGAAACTGAATGATAATTTTCAGATTTGTGATTTTGCTTAATTAACAGTAATTATTACTGTTAAATCATCTCCTGAAAGTTTATCTCCTGAAAGTTTAGCTGCTGTTAACAACAGTTTTCATATTTATGGTACCATTTACAGCTTAGACCTTTTTTACAGTGTGCTAATGAAACCCAGTGTTTAACAACAGCTGGCACTTACACTACAGCCTTACTTTAAAATGGTCTTTATGTCTTAAAGAAATCCGAGTAATCTGCTGAAGGGACAAGGCTGGAGGAGAAAATCTGCTAAGTGAGGGTTTGTTCGAACTAGTTCTACAGCAGCACTTTACAAGGCTTGATACCAAACACAGCAGCTGATCCAAGAAAGACACAAAGTGCACACGCTCACTTTGCCATTCACATGTGTGGGTACTCAGCACTGCTCCTGGGCACCGGAATGCCATTGCAGTCCAACTGGATTTTGGCACTGGATATAATTTACAAGTTGTCTCATGATAGCCTCGCCACTGTGTTATAAACGATTCTTCAACTAGAAAATAAACAGATCCAAATTATCACCTCTGTTTTTATCAAGACTGACACTCATCAAATCCGTGCAATACAGACTGAATACAGGATTCTGTGAATGTTTTATGACAGGAACAGCCCACTGCATACAATCATTTGGTATCTTACCTTTCAAAATCTCTCTCTTCCTGCAAAGGTGGGTAATAGCTTCAGGAACTCTAAAATATTACTTGGCTCATAAGGTCTCACAAACTGCAACGTACTGAGTGGTTTGTGGGTTTTGGCAAGTGTTCCAGGTCAGCAATTACTAAATAATGGTGATTCATGAAGCCTTATCCCATAGATCTGCAAGATGAAATATTTTATGAGAGCACATTTTAAAGGAGTGAATAAGAAAACAAACAAACAAACAGAACAAACCAAATCAAACAAAAAGGCCATCCCCCAAAAAAGAGGTAGTCCAAAATTTCCTTACAAAGCAGAAATCTAGTCCCGTGTTAGTGGAAATTTTTACCAAATCACCCAAGTGCTTCACAAACTTTAACAAATTAATCCTTTATGCTCTTGTGAGCAAGGAAATATTATCCCTTGTATTATACTTTGAGGAAATGATAAAGGCTGTAAAGCCCAAGTATTCCAGTATATCTAGTGATTTTTGAGCGTTTGAGTTTCTGACTGCTCAGTTCTACATTTACCTTCCAGGATTCCTGTATTATTTGCAGTTCCTCTTCATATGGAGTTACCTTCTTAAGTACACCAACTACTTCTTTTCTTTCTTCTTTTTTTTTTTTCTTTTTTTGAACTATGAATCCTAACTAAAACCCACACAGAATAACAGAATCAAAGAATCAGCAGGGTTGGAAGAGACCCTCAAGATGATCTAGTCCAGCTGTCAACCCAGCACCACCATCAGCATCCCTAAACCATGTCCCCCAGGTGCCTCTTGAACACTTCCAGAGATGGTGACTCCACCACCTCCCTGGGCAACTTATCCCAGTGCCTGACCACTCTTTCAGTGAAAACCTTTTTTCTAATATCTAATCTGAACTTCCCGTGGCACAACAAAAGGCCATTTCCTCTCATCCCTTCCCTTGAGACATGGCAGAAGAGACTGACCCCCACCTGGCTACAAACCCCTTTTAGGTAGTTGTAGAGAGGGGTGAGGTCCCCCCTGAGCCTCCACTTCTCCAGGCTAAAATATAGAACATAATTTTAAGAATGCATCACTAATACATTGAGAAGTAACTTACATAGTCCCTTCTACATCTGTTTGACCACAGATCAAGAAAAAATAATTAGTTAGTCCACTCTTCCTTGATTTTTCTGGACTAACAATCCGATTGCTCATGGACATTGTTCCTTCAGAGATGCATTCTCTCTCCAGACTGCTGAGTCTAAGACGTAGAAGAACCAGTAGTAGTTTCTATTACCACACAGCATCCACTTTTGATTTGTAATATTTTACACATTCCTCAGCTACCAGCATAACAAGGAAAACCACCAAACCTCTTTGATCTCAGCAGTGTGCCACTAAAAAATGGAAGCATTAAGAGATTAAGTTCTACATCCCCCACACCGAGAATTAGAAGTGGCCCAGGCAAGTAGAAAACTCTCATTGCTTTTCAGAAGAAGTTGACTGTTACTCAACTATACTAAACTTTAAGGGAATAAAAATCATGAACCCAACACGCATATATTGACATGTCTATCAATATATAACACATTTATAACATTGGGCTTTTAAAAAATTTAGTGTCAGAGTATTTTTATTCTTTAATAACAGAGTTGAGCTGCTTTAGGAAAAATTCAAGATAAACATAACAAACTATCCATTAAAGAAAACTCCTACCTACGATGAGGCTCTGCCCATGAGCTGGTTTTTGACAGGAATCACCATTTTCTCTCTCACATTTCTTCATGATGAGCTCAGCCATCATAAACCTTGAGTCAGCAGAAGGAACGATACAGTGCAGTCTCTTTATTAGTCTGATGGGTTTGGTTTTCTGCCCAAGTCTTGCATGGGGATTTGGCTTGGGGGAGCTGTGAAGACTGTATGCCTAAAGGGATAAGTATCAGGAATTTTGAGGTCCCTCTAGAAGGATATAATGGGGCTTATGAAGTTTTTGAGTGCTCAAAACAGCGCTCCCTGTTTTGAGAGCTTAAAATTAGACCTTTTCTATTTTCCTTTTCTTGACAAGATGCTGAAAAATGGTCTGGCATTAAAGAACAAAATAATTTTGAACTCGTTCATAAAATAAATTAAAAAAATTTTTTGGAAGACCAATTGTTTCACTGTTTTAGACTTCTAAGCAATCAATACTTTATATGTCAGCTTCATGGTAGCCATCTAACGGATCAGTCACACTTCCTGCACTACCCGAGGAATTGTCTGTCCTGAACACCCAGAGCTGGTTTATTCCTTTTCCTATCAGGCTCTGCCTTATCCACCTTCCTTGGCTCGGGGTTTCTTCCTCATAACAATTCTGTGAAATTGAAACAACCTAGTAATGAAAACACCCCGTGGTTTGCCCAAGAGCGAACGCTTAGACACAACTTCCCTCTGATGAACAGCAAAGCGTCGTGTCCGATAAGGACTGACCTCATTCCAGGCACTGCGATGTTCTTTATTGCCTCCACCAGCCAGGGACTTTTAACAATACAATAACATCAAAAACAGTTCCAAAGGGTACTCGGGTGTCCTTAGGTCTTCCAAGTTAATTGCTGTTACTGTCTCTATGGGAATGTCTAGCAGAGAGCTGGAAGGCAGGCAAATGACTCTTATCAATAAGGATTAAAAGCAGGATCCAGAGGGTCCTGTCTGGATTAGCTTCAGAGATGCAGAGAAGCAGCAATGCATGGTACAGGTAATTACTGACAACTGACTGCAAGGTGATGTAGTTTTGCCAGTCCTGAAGTTGAAGATGAGCTGAGGACTGGGAGCAATCCCGGAAGATGATCCTTCACAGACTTTTTTTTTTTAAGTCCTGAGAAGAAACCACAGGTTTTCCATTTGCCTGACTAACTGTAGCTAAAACCAAAACGATGATCTGCACCAAATAACTAGGACTGTCCAACAAAACCCGCTGCTTCTTTGGTCAAACAAAAGAACTCCCGAATCTTGCGGAACTCCCTCGCAGTTTTATACAACCGGAGGTAACACTCTATTCCCCAGCTCGGCAAACGTGAGGCTGAGAACTCAGGGGAGCCAGAATTGCCCTACAGAGACTTCACCTGTGGCAAAAGTCCCTCATCTACCACGATGTCCCGTGCTTTCCCCTGAGTGCTCCCACAGCTCCCCCGCCCCGGTGGCACCGGGTCAGTGTGCCGGGGCACCGGCCTGCCGCCGAGGCGCGGGACGGTGCCCCCGGACACACAGACCCGGTGGCACCGGGGTGGGACACCAAAAGCGACCCGACCTTCCCCTTCCCCTTCCCTTCCATTTCCCTTCCCCTTCCCCTTTCCCTTCCCGCCCTTCCGCGCCGGGTGACGTCAGGCGCCTCACGCGCCGCTCCGCGCGTCACACGCCGCGCGCGCGCGAGCGCGCGCCCCCTCCCCCTCCCTCCAGTCCCTCCAGTCCCTCCCCTCCCTCCCTCCTCCCCGCTTTACCCCTCTCGGCCAATCGGAACACGGGGCTCCGCGCGCGCCCGCCCCGCCGGCCAATCCCTTCCGCCGGCGGCGGGGCGGGGGGCGGGACTTCCGCCAGCCGGAGGCCGGAAGCGGGTCTCTCATGCGAGCGGGTGGTTGAGAGGAGTCTCGGCTCGCAGAGACGTTTCGGGCCCCGGAGGAGCCGCCGCCGCCGCCGCCCCCGCCCCCCGCCCGCTCCCTCTCCGGCGCTGCCGCCGCCCCGCTGCGCCCCTCCCTCGGCCCCGCCCGCGCTCCGCTCTCCTCCTCCTCCTCACGGCATCCGGCGGCGGCGGCGGCGCGGCGGCGAGAGAGCCCCGGCGCCAGCGGGAGCGCGGCGGAGGCGAGAGGCCCCGCGCCGGCGGAGCCAGCCCCTCTGTCCCCTCCCTCCGTGCCCGACCGTACCCCCCGCGCCGAGCCCCGGCCCGCGGGCGGCGGCGGCTGTTGGTGACAGGTGAGTGCGAGGGCCCGCCCGGCCCGCGCTCCCCGGGCGGCGGCGCCCGCCGGGGCCGTTCCGCGCCCGGTGCGCGGGGGGGAGACACCCGCCCCCAGCGCCCCGCCGCCCCCTCGCTCCCCTCCGGGGAGGCGGCCGGAGCCGCCATCTTCCCGCCCGAGGCGGCTCCCGGGGGAGCGGCGGCGGCGGGAGGAGGATCCGGCGCGGGGCTGGCGGGGCAGGGCAGGGCAGGCCGCGGGGCCGCTCCCGCACTGCGGGCCGGGCACGGCGGATGAGCTTTGCCCCCGCGCTGCCGTGCGCCGTGTGCCCCGCCCGGAGCCTCCCCGGATTCCCCCCTCCCGGGGCCGATGGGACCCCCCCGGAGCAGCCGCCGGCCCATCGCTCGGGGCAGCGCCGAGTTCCCCCACGAACGTCTCCACCAGCCGCGTCCCGAGCAGGGGAACTGCCCAACGCCTGCCGGAGCAGGCGCCGCGCAGGCCGTGTGTTGCCCCCAGGATTGTGGTGGTGGTGTTAGCCCTTCGGTAGCTGCTGCTTCGTCCCGGTTGTTTTTCACTCTCAGTTTCAGTTTGTGCAAGTGCTCAGAATTAGCACTTAGCAGCTCTCTCCGCGGCTTAAACAGAGGTGCACTTGCCAGACAGTGTTTGTTGTGTGAGATTCCTGTGTGGCAGATAAGTATAATTATTTTTATTCTGCAGGTGAGCGAATTGAGGCAGGGTGTTTAAGACTTGCCTGTGGCCACAGAGAGAGCTGGGTTCAAAACCACTGTTTAAACTTGAGTCACGGTTGGGGTAAAACCATGGGAATTCTGGCTTCCGATTCTGCGTCTTGTCACTGGCCTAGTTTTGCTGGCCTCTGTGTGAATCCTTAGTAAAACTGGAGAAGGGATCTTCCTCAAGTACTGACTCAGGGGTTGCTATTGAAAGGTCTGTCGTGTGCTTTAAGTTTCGTGTCCAACTTATCTGGTTTTTACAGGTTGGATAAATTCTCAAAGGTCAAAGAATGTTCTTTTTTTTTTTTTTTTTTGGTTTTTAACTTACTGGGATTTCACAACTCTTGGGTTTTGATTCTGGTCTGGTAACTGTTTTTATCAGTTGAACTTTCACTTCTCCCTGCTGACTTGTAAGCATTTCTTCAAGTTAATTCTTGAGATATGAAGCTAATCAGCTTAGTTATTTTCGTTATTACAGCAACATTGATATTTTCTATTTTTTTAATTATTTTTTGTGAGATGTGAAAGGAAGATGAAAACTAGGGTGAGGCCTGATAAAACACATATAGAAACAAGTATGTTTTATATAAATAATATCTTATTCTTCCAGGTGTATTGTCATTCACCTATGTATACTATTTATATGGAAGCCACAATTATTCTTATGTTTAATTGGTCTTAGATTTTGGGGGAAAAAGTAATCCTTGTGGGAACTGAAGTAAAAGTTTTGCTTAAATGAATTAAGAGCAAACAGTTGACCTCTTGTTCCTTAATAATATGTGTGAATGTAATCAGGTCCTTAAGCACACACAGTGTTCTGAGTTAGATTGAATTGTTTACCTTGTAATTTTTTCTGGATTTTTTTAAAGTGTTTAAACACAAACACCTGAAGGGAATAAAGGTGTCAGCACAAGTGTGCGCTGCCTTGGTTGCTTTTTGTGGCTTGCTCTAGTGCAAATATACACACAGAAAGGTAGCGATGACTGATATGTAGATATTATATATATTGCTTAGATATGTGGCTGGAACTTAAATCTGCTTCAGTACAGAGCCAAGGCAGAAGATCTGGAAGTGGAGGCAGTTGTGGGGGCTTTGGGATTTTGTTGAGGTTTCTTGTTTCTTTGAGACATGCAGTAACCATGTAGGCAGTTTCTAGCGATGATGTCTTACTCGATTAGAGTGAAATTAACTACTTGGTTTATTTGCTGAAATGCAAAGTAAATACAGTCAGGCTTGTCTAATCTACATGTTCCGTGGAGATCTGTTGCTGCGTCTCTTATTAAGTCTCGTATCTCGCAGTGGCTTTGGCTTTAAATCAGTTGAGAGCTTAATTGGCATGGTAATATAAACTCTTTGTTAAATATTTATTACATTACCTCACAAAATGCACATGCTAGACACGGAAAAGGCATGTTTCTGACCATAATGCGTGGCAAATGTAAAGTGACAGCTGAAAGGTAGCAAAAAAGGAGTTATAAAAAACCAAAGTAATTAGGTGTAGATGTGTTCCATCAGTTTGATTTTTTGTAAACTAGGTGGCTTTTAGGACTTTCAGCGCCATTAATGTTTAATTCCATGGTGTCTGTATATATTCATCAGGCATTCACATTCTCGTAAATTAACAGGTGAGGTACGCAAATAAGCACACAGGGCACTTGACTTACCTTTTCTAGTGCCTGTGTTGGAAGGAGCAGGTTTTGCAAAGGCCATGGCCCCATCGATCTTGAAGAAGAGGCGCGTTCTTGCCTTGGAGGGGCCAAGGTGGCCATAGAGGCAGCTCACAAACGCGGCGGCAGGAAGGCTATGGCTGGCAGAGAGAAAAGGCAAAGAGACCTGATGAAGGAAAGCAAAGAAACATATTTCCAAGTCTGGAGAATGTTAAGCTTTGGGAGTGTGATTTCTGTGTCTATGCATGTACACGCACGTGTGAGGAACTGTTAGGTGACGTAAGGCGTTGTAAAAAATGTGGTTTGTAGACTGTTCTGTTCCTTTAAGCATTTACTCACAAAATAGCATTTTTAGGCAACAAGTTTGTGTAACTCTTAGACATAACTGTAGAAAATAATCTCAGGCTGCGTTTTTTCCTGTGTGCAATCAGTGATATTCAGCTAACAGGAGCAGTGGAAGTCTGACATATCTGTATTCAGAATGGGCACACAGGTATGAGTCGGAAAGAAAGGATGTTACAAAACAGGACGTTCTTTGGAAGAAAGTTAACCCTTCTCCTGCGGTTTTGAAAGAGGTGATGATGTGTTGAGAGCTGTGTAGAAGATGAGAGTAAAAACTACTCTTGTAGTAAAGACCTCGGAAAGGTATATGAGCAATGTTATTCCTAAAGCAAGGCATACATATGCTGAAATTAATACTGTCATTTTAGTCCATGTAAAACAAGATCTAAGAGGGTGGGTTTCACTACAGAAGCCAGTCATTAAATTACGGAGGGGAAAGTGATGTAGAACTTAACCTGTGCAACAGTGCTAGTTTTATGTGATCCCTCAAAAAAGAGAAGACACACATGCACTCAACATCTTCACCCTGAACTGGTAATGCACTTTATCAAAGGTACCAGTTACAACATTTTCAAACTAATGTGTTGGGAAAACTCTGTTTTCTTTTGCTGTGTGTTAACTGCTCTGTGCTAGACTCGAGACAAGCTAGTGTGTTATAACAGTCAAATACAAAAATAGAGTAACTGAATATAAAACTCAGGTATATTTCACCTGGTCAACAAAAATATTTTGGTGCTGTAAATACTGGATAATTGAACAAGACCCATTGCTCATCCAGCAATCTGTTTCTTTCCCTTTAGGGATATGCTGACTTTGACTGGCTCATGATAACATTGTGTCTAAAACCAGTAAGTTTGATGAACTTGTTAGAAACAAACTAGAAGTTGATTTCTGTTCCACCTGTTCATTTAAATTAACCTACTCAAATTCCACAAAGTAGTGCAAGATAGAAATATATTCTGTTAATTGGTTCCTAACTGATATTTCATAAATTTTGGTGATGTGATGGAGCCAAGTATTTATAAAATCACTGGTCTTTCACACTTGTGTGTGTTACGTACCCTTCCTAAAGGAGGGTGCCTCCCCATTCAAAAGCAGGCACTACAGAGTAATACCTGGAGACAACAAAGGTACTTTGGAGTACTTAAATTAGGTGTGACTGTAATACAGCATAATTGTGCGATTAGGATAGCCATGACAGTGTTCATTCTGTGATGTGTGCTGCTGCAGGTATTTTGTGTCTGGGTATGTGTTTCAGGAACGGCAATTAACTCCAAAATTGGAAGTCTGACAGAGGTTACTAATATGTGGCTCTCTGCTTGGCCTGGAACATTGCAGGGAATTGGGGAAATGCTGTTTTGACGCCCTGATGAATCACCAATTTTTTGGAGTCTTAATCTTTTTGAACGCTCTCGTTTACCATGGAGGGCTTGGCTATGCATATTCTGGATCCTGTCAGTCCAGCTCCTTAATGGGT